TGCATGAGATGACTCAACATTGCCAGGTCCTCTTTTGGCTTTTTTGGTGACAGGGACTGGCTCAGAAAGGCAGCAGCTGGGATAAGAAGGCAGTGGGGAGTGATACTGCTCAGGAAGCTGCACGGGAAACAGAAAGTACCCCAGCAGGACAGGGTGCAGACAGGAAAGAAAAAATTATGCAGGTAATATGGGGCAGAACAGCCAGTCCAAAGGAGCGACTTCACAGCGGGGAGGAGCCTGGCTTGCTGATTTCCCCCCGCTCCTGCCTGGCCTCCATACAATTTCTGTAACATCTCTGAACTAGGGCCAAGAACCATTGATTGTTTCCAGAGGCCTCGGAAAGGCTCAGGGGAGAGTTGTAATGAAACCAAAAAAGAAAAGAGCTCTTACAATTTGAGGAAGTGCATGCTAAAATTGGCCTCGAGTGCTGTTGCTGACTTCCTCTGTAACAAAGCCCAAAGCAAATTACTTTGCTTTAACCGGTCCAACTGTAAAACGGGGAAATGGCCCTCTGCAGCCTGGCAGAGACCATAAACCCAGGGAAGGCATTAATTAATGACCATGCACTTGTGATAACAAAGTACCACCCCACCAGAATCCACAGCTTCACATTGGCCAGATAAACACAACAAAGGCTTTGAAAACCCACGTCCCTGTGGATATCTATAAGTCAGCGACTTTCAGGGAAGATTTGGGTCAAGAAGAAATTGACTGCCTTCAGGGTATCATGCTTCAATAGAGAAACCAATGTGCCATGGCCAAGACCCAGCAGGGACTTCCAAAGCAAACCAACCTGGAGCTGCAAACAGACATTTTAGCCACCGGATGAATGCATAAGTACCCAGACGTCAACGGCTCCCCGTAAAACACGGGCAGGAAAACAAAAACACCTCTCTAATCAGATCCTTAGTTCCTACTTCTCTGAGTCTTCAGTAGTCTAAAATCCTGGGCTCAAGTATAAGTAGGAATTTTCTGTTGTTAAAGTCTTTTTCTTTTTGAGCTACACAATACCTGTCGCATACCCTTCAGATTCCTTCCTATTGTTCTTATAGTTGCTTTCCCCTTCCTAGAAACAATCCAGCTACAGGATATGGGATTTCTGGTTCCCTAATTTTTGCCTTCCTGGAAAATATCAACTTAAAATCCCTGGCACTCACAAATTCAAAGAATGGCTGCCCTCCTTGAGAATATAAACCCACCATTGTGATGTAAGAACAAGAAGATGGTTTTGAAAGACATCAAAAGCTTTCCCAGGCCCTCTAGAGTACCCCCCACTTCAAGAAAGCAACCTATAGGACATTTTTAGCATTTCAGGTGCTGGAGAGGATTGGAGAGGCTCTCTAGGGGGTCCTGGAGCAGCAGAAGGCACCACAGTGAAGCTCAGAAAACAGCCTGCAAGGTCATGGTGTGTGGTACACCTTTTGGGGGCAGGACACAATTATAAGAGGGTCTTTATCTAACAAATGCAATCAGTGTAACCTGGCTCTTTGTACCCTCAATGAATCCCCAACAATAATAATAATAATAAAAGATGGAGGTGGAGAAGCTGAGCTGAAGCTGTAACTGAGGTAGAATAGAAATAAAGAGACTACTCTCACTATTCTCTAGAATTGCTGGCCTTATGATAAGAAAGTTAGCTGGGCCTAATCTAATCTCTTCATTTGACTGACAGTGACATGAGGCCAGATCCTCTTTGTACTATTCCAATTAGAACACTGTTTTAAGGTTCTAGGCCTGCACCTCACCAGAAAATCCAAGTGGTCATTCCACTATAAGGCTACACACCAAGCTTTCTACTTTTTGGCATCTATAGCTGTTTTCCTATAGCCAGATAATAAAATAGGCAGGTGCTTACAAACTTATAGATGAAAAATAACCTTCTCATGTCTGGGAAAGTTAGTCTAGAGAGCCTGGAATGCTTGGGGCTCAGCGAGGAAAGAAGAAAGAGAAAGAGAGAGGGAGAGAGTAAGGGGTTCAGGACACCAGACCCAAAATATGGCACTTTGGCATTTGAGGAAATAAAAGCAAGAAAACATCTCTGACTTCCCACCATTCCTCCCTGAAACAGGCCATAAAAAAGAATTTTCTAACCTTCCTCTACCATAGGTCATAACATAACCTTATGTTTGAGGTTCCTACCCTGTACCCCAAGGAAGGGAATATCCTTATCTCTGAAAACATAGGGATGCAGAGAAGAATCCAAAACAAACAGGCCTTGCGGAGACCCCCACGTTTACTACTGCCGTTAGGTTATCCTGCCAACCAATCACACGCCCCCACGACTGTCCACTGTTCTCAAACTTAAGCATAAAAATAGACAGGATTCTCTGTTTCTTTGGGGCTTCATTTCTGAAGGTTCTCATGGCATGTTAAACAAATTTGTGTATTTTTTTCTCTTGTTAATCCATCTCTATAGGTGCCTGAGCCATGAACCTTTCAATGGGTAAGGAAAAGATAATAGTTTTTCTCCTCTATAGGAGGGATGGAGGGAAGAGGAAAATTCCTGGCTCACACTTGCTCTGCTGAGTCAGTCCTGACTCCCAGCAGAGTTGGTGACCCAGAGGCCACTATCATCTGACTTGACTCCTGCTGGCCCTACCCCAAGCTTCTCCTGGCAGCTCACTCTGGAGAACTAGGGCTACAACCAAAGGTTTATCCTTAGAGCCCACATTTTCTTCTACTCTGAGCTCCTATTCTCTTGCTGAGGCTGCAATTCCCTCCAGGCCAGAATATTCTCCTATCTATGCTGTCCACCTGCAGCAGGTGGTGGGTTTCCAAAATTTTGTCTACTCAAAGCATGGGGGAGGGGGTCCAGGCTCTCCTGGAAGATCCCCTGTAGCACCTGGGCTAGCAAAGGCATTCAGATGTCATTAGCTCCAGGTAGAGCCTACTATGACTGGGCCAGCAGGGATTCAGAGTGACAGTGGCTGCTTTCTTATAATGTCATTCAAGTCAATGACATTGAATTGTCATTAAAATTGTTAGTACAGGATAAAAGATCAATTTTCCAAGCAGTCCAGAAGGCAGTAATTGACCACATGAGGGTCTGTTCCACAAAGACAATGGTCCTGCAGACAAGACATGAGCCCATGGGGCCAGCCTTGGGGGAGGGGGACCACGTTCTCCCCACTCCCCTGCAGTGAGTCCTGGCAAAGGCCCAGAGAGAAGGCACAGCTAACCTCTATCATTGACCACGAAGGCCAGGTGGCATGTTCTTCCCTCCACGTGTGCTTTCATTTACTTTTCACGTTCAGAACACCTGGCCAGACAACAAGCTCTGAAGTCTCAGGTCATGCAACTGAAATTAGTGACAAAATTCCTAGGGCCTTTTTACTGAAAGGACTTTAGTTGGGCTGGGAGAGGGATGTGAGAAGAGGAAGGGGAAAGGTGAGCTAAATAAAATGCATTTTCACTTGTAATAC